GCCGCCGCCGCTGCCACCGCCGCCGCTGCCGCCGCCGGCGCCGGTGGTAAGAAGACCCGTAGCCTGCTCGACCTCAACCACACCTCGGCGGCGGCGCCGCGGCCGCGGCCCGAGCACGCCCTCCACGTACCCCAGTCGCCCGTCGGCGCTACGCACAGGAGCCCCCGCGACGACGTCGCATCCGCCGCAACGTCCGCCATCCACCAGCGGCCCCACAAGTCCATGGAGTTCCTCCTCGACAAGGAGAACCTGCATTTCGTCAAGGTGAGTGATGGTCCCGCTGGCATGATCTTTATCCTGTAGAGTTTACCGCGTTCTCTGATATCATCTCTGGTATCTCTGGTATCTCTGGTATCATCATGCGGCAAACGATGCGACGTGAACCAGCCGAAGGACCGTTCGTGAAATTACGAGAGTTCCAGATCGATCTCGTCGGACGTAGCCGTCGACGAGGAGTCGTGTTGACGAGATATTCCGATCTCGTTGCGAGATTGATTGCATGCGAGGCTGGAAAGTTGGATGGAATGCACCTATATTAGACCTCGACGAGCAGAACCCTCTGTCCTGTGATAAATCGAGTCATGCTTGCGTTGCAAAATCGGTCGCGCGTGATATTGGGAAAGGGGACGTTCCTGCCTAGATAGAAGAAGTATTCGCATTTTGCTAAGTTCCATCGCACTCTTGATTGATTCTACTCGGATGTTTCTTGAGATACAAACCAGGATCGCAGATGAAGTGTATTCGAAGTTAGGTTGCAGTTTCAGAACAGATTTATTCGTATTTATCTTTTTATTAAGTCAAAGATCACTTCTTTTGCATCCAAGAAAAATATGTAAGCTGTAATATCCAATTCTAATTTTCTTAAAAGAAGATCTTCCACTTTTCAGGAATAATCTTATTCTGAAGTTTGTTACGTCACGTGTAGACGCATTAAGTATAAGGAACTTTGGAAATATTTTTGACCAATTTTGCCGACTATTAAACGACTTTTCGATACGTTTTTCTTGTTAATCTACTACCTCAATCTTTCTCAATTATCACTAGAAGAAGGATAATTAACAATCATTTATGATTTCGTAACGTTGTTGCAACATCTGTTATCAAAATGTGCTAATAAAAAATGTTGATAATAACAAGTATTACGACAACAAATAATTGTCAAATATTTTTCTTTAAGCTAATGACAATTGAGAATGATTGAAGTAGTGGACAAGTAACAAATTGGTATTTTAGAAAGACGTATCGAAAGATGTCATTTAGAGCTCGGCGAAATTGAACGAAAAAATTTCGAACGCTCCCGTATGCATCACACGAAGATTAATTGGGAATGTTCCAATGCAGAAGTAGACTATTTGCCGTTAATTAACACGATTTTGATCGATACGTTAATTAACTCAAGCTACGTGCTCTTCGTGCTATCGTCGTGTCAGAAATTAGCATTCGTTTAATTAACGTCGTGTCGCATGCAGATTATATCGTCGTCACTCAATGATCTAACCGACTTATCTGATACAAATTCTCTTCCGCAATGTAAATATGAATATATTTGTTGCGGATATACTTAATGCGTTTACACGTGGCGTGATAAACTTTAGACTGAGATTATTCCTAAAAATTGAAAGATGTCTTCTCAAGAAAATTTGAATTAGATATTACAGTTCTCTTTTGATGGAAAGGAAGTGATTTGAATGAATAAAAGTATAAATATGATCAAGTGTCATGTTTCGAGACTGCAATCTGACTTCGAATGCGTTTTTCGTCAGCTATTCTCGTTTATATCTCGAGATATATTCAACCCAAGTGAATGTCTTTGCAGGCAAATCGCTGTAACCGCGTTCTGAAAACCACCGCTCTAATTTCGCCGTCAATGGAACACCGCCGGCCGCAAGGGTATCTCGTATCGACAGGCTGGCTAAATTAGGTCTCGCCGAATGAACTCTTTTTAGCGACGAATCTCGCCGGTACTACTTCGATTCTACTTGCTCTTTCGGCTTGTCGCTTGGGTATATCGTAGCGAAGATCGATAGAGCCTCCTTCCGCGACAAGGTGCGACGATGAGTGTCGCAGAGTCTTTCTTCCGCATTGGCGTAGTTTCACGTGGACTCCCTCTGCACTTCTTTAGGAAAGCGATTTCGTCATGGAAACACCTCAGAGTTTCCAAAGATGTCAAATGTTCTTTAACTCCTCGGAATTCTTCTTTATCGAAAGGGAAATCTCAGCTTTTGCTGGTCTACTTTTACACAATTGACAAAGCTTTAGGATTTTTCAATCGAGTCGATATAATTTTCGTAACATCCGGTCAAATCGTTCTCAATCGGTTAACAAATTTTTATCGACAGAGAAATGTTGTTCCCCTTCCCCCTCAAAATATCTTTTCATAATTGTGAAGGAGTTGGTGTAACTTTTTAGATATTTTTAGATAACACGGTTTTTAAATCTGGACACTGTGTTTTCACAGTGCCACGAGCTATCATGAACAACCGTCATAACTCTTGTCGGAGTCTCTTTCTCCGTTTGTCCTGCTTTCTCCCCGATGTGTTTCTCTTGATGGTGGGTATATTACATGTCCGTGAAAGATAAAGACATCGATCTCACCTTGTATGTTAATATAATTATTACCAATCTCGTTTTGATCTCAGGAATGAACGAACTCGGTTGAGAGAATTAATTTTCCGTTGTATTGTCACACGATGGACTGCAAATTTTAATACCACGTTTAACGTATACGATTGATTACTCTGCTGGAAACTTCCTTCAGTGTCATTAGCTGTTTAGATCGGATTGCAATATTAATCTGAAATTTTTAGAACGTCTTGATATGTGATCTGGTCGAGCGTAAGAAGAAGGTGCAGGCTTTAATAAGAGTCGACGGTCACGGGGTTACGCTTCACGGGACGATGGTCGCCGGCTCGATGATCGGCATCGCGCATCGTGGGAGCCGCGTCGATTATTCGTTTCATTTGAGTCTCTTAAACGGACACAGCGAAGACCGTTGACCCTGTGCTTTGGTTCACGCCCTTCCTTTTCACGCGTGTACACGTTTCGATCAGCTCGATTAACGCTAGGCGGTCCGCTATACGCTTCTATACAGCCAAGCTATTAGGTACTATTATGGTTTCAACACAGCTATTCTACATATTTGCTCTTGTCAAAGAAACCGCGAATGTGGACCAAGCGCGTCCGAGAGATTCGAGAGTTCCTGTTAAACACATGAGAACGAAAACCTTAGAAAGAAGAGCGTGGGAAAGAACAAGTGAAATTATGAATCCTGCAAGATTTCCTCGGACCTAACGGCAATCTAACGGCAACGTAGTATAAAAATCACGCTCGTGGCGTACAGAAAATTTCTAATGCGACCTCTTTTGTCGAGCAGTTTCTCGCGCGCTTCTCGAAGAACCGGAAAATTATACAACCGCACGCGTGCACGGTTTCCGTTTTTTAATAGCGTAACTGGCGCGAAGATATTCTCGAGATGTTTGCGGAACACTTGGTAGTTCCTCTTCTTCGGCATTCTAAAACCGGACCCCTCGCCTAATTCCCTCTATTTCGTCTTGTTCGACTATTCTTTTGTACTATTTTCTTTCTATGTTCTCTTCTCTTTCCTTCTCTTTTCTTTTCCCATGATGCCTCTTCCTTTAGTTTTACTTATTACGTAACGGGAAAAGACGAAGAGGACAGAGCAAGCGTCTTCGGAGGAAGGAATTCGGAAGGGGTAAAGGAGGGAGGGTAAAATCTCACGACAGGTCGATAACCCCTATGCGCATTCTTCCGGAGTCGGGAGAGAAGGCTCGACAAAGTGACATCTCAAAGAGGACCACCCTGAGAAAGAAGAAGTCAAGCGATGTAGAAGCACTTTGATCACCGCCCGCGAATATCTTTGAATACTGCCGGTGGTCGATAGTCAAAGTCACCAATTTGATGGGTCAAACGCGTGGAAATAACATTTCTAGAAACGTAGGAGCTCAGGCTGATACATGATATTGACCACTTGAGGAACCCTCGCGTTGTTGCTGGATAATCGATAGCTGTTCGGATAAAAATATCATGTTAGTGCTTCGTTGCGATCCCTATTGCTGGAAAATAGCAATAAAGACCTGATATGAAAGAGGCTGGAATGCTGTAATTCCATCAAATTGTTTTTATTCACTATACCTATAATAATTTTTTTCAGAAAGAATTATTTTAAAATTGTTGGCCAGAAATTTTAGAAAAACTTTGTCAAGTTGCTATACTCAGCATAATCTAGATTTATATTAAAAATCTCAAAAACTAATTTGATCAAATATATATCATTTTTATTATACATTAAAATTGCTGACATTTTCAATAATCGAGAGAGACATTTACACCAAAATGTAGAGAGGATCACTCTTCCCTCTTATGTGAAAATATCTTGTCAGATATAACACATATGCTCCGCTAATTTCTATGATTTGGAGGGCAAGGTGGATCAGCGAGAAAATCCCGAACACGCGACTTTCTCGGCTGCGCATTGTGCAAATATCGGTCCAGTGTGTCCACGGCTTTAACCATGCCTCCTCCCTCTTTCCCATTCTCCCGTGCCCTTCAGCTTCCTCCTCTCATCTCGCTTCCACCAGCATAGTGTATTGATCGACCAACACCAACGGCAATGGCTCGTCCCGCTGCGTGCGTGTATGTGTGCATGCGTTTCTTTGTATATGTGCGTTACGCTTCGTCGTCTCGCGATACGTACGCTTCTACATACGAGTGCATGAACCGATCTCTCTCATTCCGCTTCATGCACTCCGCCTGGCGAATCCAACACCACGATGCCTAGCACGCGAATCTGTGCCACGTTGACCCCGCAGCCCGCAGACGCAGTCATTTCTATCCAGCTGTTATCTCGTGAAACCGTTTAACTGAATCTTTGTTACGAAACTAAAAGAGAAGGCCGGTTTCTTTCATAAATCTCCTTTACACAATAATCTGTGAATTTATTGGAATTTTGACCTTTCTCTTAATAATAATCTTGGATAAATTATTTGTTTATTATTAAAATTAGTTTTATGAATAATGTTGTATTTTACACGGATTAAAAAATGTTTGAGAAGTTTTCTGAGTCTTTCTTAGAAAATTATTTGTAATATTAAAATTATACTATAACGTTATATTAAATTATTAATAGAATAAAGTTTAAAATCGACTAAGAATATTTTTTAATTATTATAATATCTCACAGTTTATTTTTCTTAAGCATTTTATATTGTATATACAATATATGTATTGAGGAAAATGTACTAAAT